TTTCTTGAGTTGAATCTTACCACTGGCTTTCTTGGGACCCATGGCGAGATATATAATAATAACTTTTATGTTCAAATACTAAAAAATAAAAAAAAACTGAAATTCTTTACAAAGAATTCAAGCGCGATTGTCACTAGGTGGGAGTCACTGGTAAACTGAGGCACGATCGCTGTGCCACCATGCGCTTGGTCGACCATATGCGTATCAACAAACTATGTTACCTGAGGCAAATTTCATAACCTGATTCTGATTTTACGAAGAAATTGGGCTCGTAACCTGAAAAGTTCGTAAAGAGGGGCATTCGTAAGCCGAGGTGTCACTGTACGTGTACATATTTTGTTCACTATAACTGTACAACTAAGCTGGTATGGTGAGTTCAGACAATAACAGAGATTGCCACACAGTCAGCTGATGGTCCCTCCCTCCATCACCAAAATGGCTTCTCCAAATATACGCCTTTTGCTGCTATTACACAAATATACACACATTATATATAAGCACCTACATTTGTGTTCACCATGTCGAAGAAATATAAGAAATTTCACTTTCGCAAACAGAGTGGCAAACAGTTTGAACAAGTTAGGTGAGAAGGTGGTGGAGGCCAAAACCGTCAGTAATTTCAAAGCTTTTAATGACAAAAAGTGCTGGGAAGATGGGACACCACGAGCATAACTCTCATCCTGTATCTACACTTAGGTAATTACACTGGAACATGCTAGAGGAGTGACAGGGAGACTTCTGACATGGATGAAATACTTTTGAACTGATGAACTGATGAGGGCAGTAATCAGAGACAATGTATCTGACAGGAGGAGTGTTACTAGTGGAGTGCCACAGGGTTCAGTTCTTGCACTGGTAATGTTCATCATCTACATAAATGATCTACCAGAAGGAATACAGAATTATTTGAGCATGTTTGTGGATGATGGTAACATACTGGGGAAGATAGGAGGCGCAGACGATTGTAATGCCCTTCAAATTGATCTAGATAAAATAAGTGCTTGGAGCGTAAAGTGGCAAATGGAATTCAATGTGGATAAATGCTGTGTTATGGAATGTAGATTCAGAGAAAATAGACCACACTCAAATTACAAGTTATGTAGAATGGAATTACAGAACTCTAATAAAGAACGAGACCTAGGGGTGGTTTTGGATAGTAAGCTGTCGCCAGAGGAACACACAAAGAACACTGTGAGAGGAGCGTATGCGTCGCTTTCCAACTTCAGACTTGCTTTTATTTATATGGATTGTGAAATACTAAAGAAGCTGTTCATGACTTTCGCGAGACCAAAACTGGAATATGCAGCAGTTGTATAGGGCCCAAATCTCAAGAAGCACATAAAGAAACTGGAAAAGGTGCAGTAGCATGCTACAAAATGGCTTCTAGAACTGAAAAACAAGAGTTACGTGGAGAGACTACAGATCTTAAACATGCCTAAACTAGAAGATAGAAGAAAAAAGAGGTGATATGACCACTACAATCAAAATTCTAAAAGGAATCGACCAAATTGACAAGGAGGAATTCCTGAAACTAGCAACATCATGAAGAAGAGGACACGGTTTCAAGCTGAGAAAACAGAGGTGCCGAAGAAACATTAGAAAGTTTTCTTTTGTAAACAGAGTGGTAGACGGTTGGAACAAGCTAAGTGAGAAGGTGGTGGAGGCCAAAACCGTCAGTAATTTCAAAGTGTTATAAGACAAAGAGTACTGGGGAGATGAGACACCACGAGCTTAGCTCTCATCCTGTAACTACACTTAGGTAATTACACTTAGGCAATTACACACACCCCACAAAACCTATAAATTATGTGAGAAATCTTTAAAGAATTCTATTAAAGAAAGAGATCTAGGGGTGTTCTAGATGGAAAACCATCACCAGCGGATCACATAAAGAATGTCGTGTGAGGAGCCTATGCTATAGTTTCTAACTTCAGAATTGCTTTTAAATACTGTACATAGATGGCAAAATAGTAAAGAAATTGTTCACAATTTTTGTTAGACCAAAGCTGGAATATGCAGCAGTTGTATGGTGCCCATCTTAAGAAGCACATCAGAAAACTGGAAAAGGTGCAAAAACATGCAGCTAAATAGTTCCCAGAACTGAAGGACAAGAGCTGCGAGGAGAGGTTAGAGGCATTAAATATGCCAAAACTAGAAGTTAAAAGAAAAAGAGATGATATGATCACTATGTACAAAATAGTAACAGGAATTGATAGGGAAGAATTCCTGAGACCTAGAACTTCAAGAACAATAAATCATAGATTTAAACTTAGTAAAGAAAGCTGCTGAATGAATATAAGAAAATTCACTTTCGCAAACAGAGTGGTAGATATTTGGAACAAATTAGGTGAGAAGTGGTGGAGGCCAAAAGCGTCTGTAATTTCAAAGCATTATATGACAGAGTACTGGGAAGACAACACCACGAGCGTAGCTCTCATCCTATAACTACACTTAGGTAATTACACACACACACACACATCATTAAACACAACATAATTGTGAATTTTCTTTTGGATATTTATTTATTTATTTATTCACAGTAATTATTTACACAACTGCTTAAAGTTCCTACAGTATGGATAACTATTTACAATATGTATTGGAAAATAGTCACCATGGTGCAGGGTAACACACTTGCCCTGATATTCGCAAGCAATATGGCCTAGGTTCATATCCTGGCTGGAGAGGGTTGACTAGCCCCCAAATCTTAACTGTTTCCCTCTGTTCACCCAGCAGTGATTGGGTACCTGATTGTTAAACGATTGGTGGGTCATATTCCAGGGAAACTAGTGGGTAAGGCACATGAGCTAAGGGAAGGTCTCAGCCTGCAGCTCTGAGTCTGCTAACAGGAGTCAGCAGTCATCTGTTCCTGTACCCACCTGTGAAAAATTATGCCACACTTCCCCTCCAGGAGTACGTTAAATAGGGGACTGTCACAGGAGAAGTTTGTTTAGGAGGATCACAACAAAACAATCTTTTGCACTTTTTTTAGGTGCTCTGACCTCTTGCTATCCTTTCTTTCATATATTGATCCATTCCAAATAAATAGATTGAACTTCGGTCACTCCACATTTAATTCCCTCTTCACCCCTTTCAATCATATAACTATCAGCCTTTATTTATGCATGATCATGTTTATTTAGAGTGATATTGAATGAGAATTTTAGTAATTCATACTAACCTTATATTCTTAATTTATTCTATATTCACCAGTTGGTATATCCCTTCATATGTTGTCTCTCTGCTCTCAGTATTCAAAGATCTAAACTCCCAGTGCTTTGCTTTGACAAAATCAGCCTCTCTGGTGTCAACATGGGATGTAGTTGCCTATGCTCATCCTCACATGCCAACCTATCTGGCCACAATGGACTTGTTTCAACAGACTCAAGGTATATAACGTGAACAAGCTAATACAGTAACCATATCCATGTTAATACATTTGCTCATAAAACCTATATTATTTTCTCTTGTATGTGGTTTATGGTATCATTAATTTCATTACCACAGTGCTCTCTGAGAGCGTAATGTACATTACAGGAATTTGCTGTATAACCACTAGGCCCCACTGAGAGTGTACTTGCCATTACTGTACAACCATTGGGCTTTGTGAGAGGGTACTTTTCTTTGCTGTACAACTGATATGCCTTGTGAGAGGGTACTTGGCTGTTCAACAACTGGGCTTTGTGAGAAGATACTTTTCTTTGCTGTACAACCACTGAGCCTTGTGAGAGGGTACTTTTTTTCTATACAACCACTGGGCTTTGTGAGAGAGTACATTTCTTCGCTGTACAACAACTGGATTCTCTGAAAGTGTGTTGTGAGCAACTAATTTATTGAACTTTCTTAACAGTTTATTAGAATCCCTCTTTTCAGCTGTATATAAAATGAGACATCATTCCTTATTTATCTCTAAGTTTTGAATAATTATTTATGCATTAATTATTGCACTTAGAAAAAAAATTAGTTTTTGAAATATTTGTATTGCCAGCATCACATTAACCACTTAAATCAAAACAAATCAGAGGCTTTTTACACCTCTTGTTTAGTTAAAACAGAAGGATGTTCTAAATATGAAGTAATTATTAATTATGGTACTCACATTGACTAAGAAGCTGATGCTGTTATAAAAAAATATTAGTGTTACTAGCAGCAATATACTGTGCCATATGGTTGCTGTGCAAAGTGATTCGTAGAGGTCTTGTGCTATTTCTCAACTATATTGTTTCCTCAGCATACATTTATCTTTCAAGAATTTAATATTAAATAATAATATTTAATAATTTGACAATTCTTGGTAATAGTTGATAAAAACTATTACACTTTCCATGTACAAAACAGGAAAATAAAAAACTGTCTTGTTAAAATTAGCAATATCTTAATAATATGCATGTCTAGTGTAATTCGGCCCAATGTTTTTCTTCCTTTAATCTTCTCAGCGAGAACCTCTGCTTTTACACACACAAATCACACTAATGTGATATATATATCAATGAGAAATTCTATATGGGCTGTGTGTCGACGCAAACCTGCGACTAACGCATTTCCAGCCACATTCAATACCATGGCTGGCAATGCCTTGGTCACTGGTTCACATTGTCTCACGGCCCCAGTGGATTTTCTCTCTAGCCTCTGCTTTCTCCAAAGATAGCTTTTAATTAAGCCCATGACAAGAGGGTCTCTTTTACGTTTCTCATTATTGCTAACATTTGATAAATGGATACTCATTTCATTTAGATCCAAAATTAAAGCTGGTTGCTTTGTTCCATGATAAACTCATGACAATAGTTCTCTAGGACCTCTAGGTAGAGGCATGGAATTGGGTTACCTATTGGCCATCTAGCTGTGTTCGGTGCTTATTTTATTTCAGTTATATCTTACCAATGATATTATTCCACTGTGCAGATCTCGTAATTGAAAAAGTCATCAGATTAAAGGGAAAACTAAATGACTAAATATAAGGGAGTAATGTTGAAGGTGATAATAAGAAATTATATTTTCAGGCACGTCATCCCCCCGGAAGCCGTCCGCCACTGCCACTCGGATGATTGTAAGCGGAGTAGGGGAAAGTACCATCCAGCGACATGAGTACCTGGTGGCTCAGCCCTCTGTAGGCTCCACGCCTTCACCTGCACCCACTATTTCCCTTAGTGGCACCAAATCACCTGTACCTGCTGCAGGTGCAGTAAGCCAGGCACCTGTGGGCACTGTTACCACTATATTGCGGGACGGCAAAAAGGAGACGCTCATTAATGACATTGGTCCTTCTGCAACTGCTCCACCTCTACCAACTCATCACCAGGTGAGTTTTCATAATAATGTGAATTTTGCCATAATTTCTTTGTTTCATATTTTCTGGATTGGCTTGAAAGCATGTAGACAGTCAGTTGCATCAAAATCACAGATAGTAGTGCAATGGAAACTTTGGATATTTGTGAATGATCTATTTTGGAAATAAATAAATAAATAAATATATATATATATGTATGTATGTTGTACCTAGTAGCCAGAACATCGTGCTCGGCCTACTATGCAAGGCCCAATTTGCCTAATAAGCCAAGTTTTCCTGAATTTATATTTTTTTCTATTTTTTTTTTCTTATGAAATGATAGACCAATCTATTTCATTATGTACGAGTTCATTTTTATTTGTTTTGAGTTAAACTAACGTATATGACCGAACCTAACCTACCCTACCTAACTTAACCTAACCTATCTTAACCTAGCCTAAACTAATATAACTAAGTCAATAATTTATGTTCATAGTATACTATAATAATAATAATTCAAATAAACCAATTGGAAACAATTTATAGAAAATAAAGAAAATCACTCGGCATATTAGGCAAATCGGGTCTTGCATAGTAGGCCGAGAAGTGCATTCTGGCTACTAGGTACGACATATATATATATATATAGATTTTATATATATTATATATTTAGATTTAGATTTTGTAAGCATGATGATAGTTTCAGCATACTGGTGCTTATATTAAATCCTCAGTCATCCTTGGATTGGAAGATTTAATATGTACATACTAAATTTGTCATATGGTGTTTTTTTAAATTTGTTATAAATTTGTCATATGAAAGTTTCAGGAATATCCTCCTAAACTTAATGCTGTTTTCTGAGGTCTTTGACTTTACTAATTATTATTATGGTGGTCTCATGTATATGATTTAAAAGTGTCACCTCTTCAAAGAACAGTAATAGAAAAATTATAATATCTTTACATACTGTCTAAGCATGCTTATTCGGACCATATTGGAAGGACTCTTGACTTGATAAGCCAGAGATCCGGATAAGCAGAATTCTTACCAGGGAAGTAAAAAATGACTATATTTGCAATTTGTTGTACCACGACAAACATAATTTGAGTTTCAACACACTAAATAATATTTATAGAACATTTAATATAATAAAATTTAAAACAGAAACTTCAGCTAACCATGTTGTACTTTGTCTTCTTTGTTTAATCTTCAAATGTATAGTGTTTAAAAATTTATGTAACCCAATCTCTAATTATCTGGATTTCTGTCTGAATATGGTGAAGTTTTGCCATAAAATTATCTGGACTTGAGTTAGACTCTTATGCCAGTCTGCATTATCCGACCAAATCTCCAGTTATCCAGATATGGAGAAGGTTTGCCAGAAAATTATCGAGACACGATTTTGACTGGATAACCCAAATGTTTGATTCAGCGGACTTCGGATAATTGAGCTCATACAGTATGTTCACTTACCTATATCCAAAAGCTTTGTCTCTAAGGCCCAAGATTTGTTTTCTTTATCATCACTTTAATGGCACCACCCACCAGGAATGTCCTGAGGGCTGATAATTCAATTTCTTTTTCAAATATAAAGACTAATGATGTTTTAACAGACAAGCTCCTCTGTACTAGCGGGGGGCTAGTTTCATAAATTTTTGGTTGTTTCTTTTTTCTTTAGGGAATTCTTTTGGCATTTTGGGGCTTTGGTTGTTTTTAAAACTAGGTACTGGTTTGTTTTGATTCACCTATCTTTCTGGGTGTCTTCCCTGGGGATGGCAAAGATTATATCCTTTAAATGTAAAGTGATCATTGGCTATCGCTCCCTGTACCTTTGTGAAGTGACCAGGTTCTGGCTCATTGACCCTGGTAGGCAAAAAAGAATTTTCCAACTGATGACACTCGATAGTATGGCACTTAATCAGTGATGATAGCTTCTGGGAACCTCCGGGGCTCACCCAAAAACTGGCGTTTCATTACATTCAACGCTGGTTTGTGTTTCTTTTACTCTTGAGTATATCAGGACACACATGATTGCTTCATGATTTCAAACACTAAATAATATAGGGTACTGTATTAATATGTAGACTTGTGAAATTGCCAACTGCACATTAGAATGGAGGTTATATTCTTTGAACTGGGTAAGTATTTTTAAAATGTCAAAAATATCGTGTTTCAGTGATGAAGATGCAACTGACTTAGTTGAATAATGTAACAGTTCTTGCATGATAATCAAGTTAATATTGATGTGAATATCTGTAGACTTGTTAGTCACCCCCTTACTTGGGTACTTGGGAGCCGCATAAGCCTGGATTCTGATGAAGACTGCTGGTAAAACGGTTTAGTACCTATCAGTGCTGTTCTCGTGAATGTTTATTTTATTTTGATACTGTACTCTGTATATTTGTAATTGTAAATAAATATCGCAAGATTTCACTTGTGTGAAAGAAACTAAACTTAGACTGTTATGTTTCTAGCAAAGTACTGGATATATTTTCATTTTTATTGCATACTCAGAATTGATACCATATTTTTCGGTGTATAAGATGAACATATTTTGTTTAAGAATATTTTGTGGAAAAAAATATATACTATGCTTTATCATACATTGATGGAAAGTAATTTTCAAGGGTTCTTGCATGGAACAACATGTGCTTCAGTCTCAACTCACAATTGGGATCCCGGGTTCGATTCCCAGGTAGGACAGAAATAGTTGGGCAAGTTTCCTATCACCTAATGTCCCTGTTCACCTAACAGTAAATAAGTACCTGGGAGTTAGGCAACTATTGTGGGGCTGCTTCATGGAAAATGTCAATAGTTTGACTTTGACAGGACCCTGATACAAGCCTAAATTGTGTGTGATTACCTAATTACTTAAAGTAAATAGTGTAATTACCTAAAGTGTAGTTACAGGATGAGAGTTACACTCATGGTGTGTGTGTACACACACATACAGAGGAACCTCGGGTGATGAGCTGCCCCATCTACGAGCATTTCAGGTAACGAGCGAGCCACTCTCAGAAAATTTGTTTCGATTGACGAGCTTACGCTCGGTTAACAAGAAAACCACGTGTTGCTTCTTAGAGTTCCCGCTAGTTTTCGCAAATTCTCAGACACCGACGACAGTGTTGTTGTTTTATCGCACAGGATAAACATCCCTCTGCTTATCCTTATCAGATGGATGGATAAGGCATTTATAGTCAATCAGGCTTCCACAGTCAGTAAACAACAAGAGTTTAATGTCAGGCAGTCTGCTTCCTGATCCAGCTGTAGCAAGGCCAACATAACATGTGTGGAAGCATCGGAGAGTGTATATATGAATGCAACAAGTATTCATCCATATATGCTGAATCACATGTGAAGAACCTCTCACACACACAGCTCCCTGACAAGAGAGAGCAAGTTTAGCTTAGCTGCCAACACCCACACATTGTATCAGCAAAATGGACAGCCTGCCTGCTTTCATAACTCTCAATGTAATTCTCACTCATAAACTTCCCTTCACCTTTGCCTCTCCATCCTCTTTACTTCCCCTCCCCCCCCTAAAAAAAAGGAAGCCAGCCTTCAGTTAATATTTCCCGATGTGGCTGGGAGGGTACAGCTGGGGGGGATGGAGGTAGCGGGAAGGGTCCGTTGGCGGTGTGGGGGTAGCGAGGAGGGTGCAGTACGGGGGATGAAGGTAGTGGGGAGGGTCCAGTGACAGGATCGGGGTATTGGAGTAGCGGGGAGGGTGCGGTGTGAGGTATGGAGGTTTATCTCACCATCCATCCAGCTCCCCTCCACCATCCATCCATCCAGCTTCCCTCCACCATCCATCCATCCAGCTCCCCTCCACCATCTATCCATCCACCCCCTTGTCCATCCATCCCCTTGTCCATCCATCTAGTTCCCCCCCCCCACCATCCATCCAATCTCCTCTCTATCCATCCATCCATCCATTCCCCTTACCATCCATCCAGCCAGTCCCCTCCCCCATCCATCCAGTCCCCTCACCATCCATCCATCCATCCATTCAGTTCCCCCACCATCCATCCATCCAGTCCCACTCCACCATCCATCCATGCATTCAGTCCATTCATCATTCATCCATCCATCCAGTTCCTCCACCATCCATCCATCCAGTCCCCCCACCATCTATACAGTCCCTTCACCATCCATCCAGTCCCCTCACTATCCATCCATCCAGTCCTCCCTCACCATCCATCCAGTCTTCCCTCACCATCCATCCAGTCCCCTCACCCGGGGAATCCAGTCCATCCATCCATCTGAAATTCACAAGAAGAGAGAGCCTGCCTGACTCAGAGGTGGATTCTCCTTCCACACTGCAACCCCCTCTCCTCCTCCCCCACCTTCCCATCGTCTCCCTCAAGCCAGTAATGACTTCATAAGTACAATTTAACAGTCTCCGTGGTGCAGTGGTAAGACACTCGCCTGGCGTTCCGCGAGCGCTATGTCATGGGTTCGTATCCTGGCCGGGGAGGATTTACTGGGCGCAAATCCTTAACTGTAGCCTCTGTTTAACGCAACAGTAAAATGTGTACTTGGATGAAAAAACGATTCTTCGCGGCGGGGATCGTATTCCAGGGACCTGCCCGAAACGCTACGCGTACTAGTGGCTGTACAAGAATGTAACAACTCTTGTATATATCTCAAAAAAAAAAAAAAAAAAAAAAAAAAAAAAAAACAGTAAAGCAAAACATTTATAATAATTACATGTACATATTATAATTACATTATAAAATTTCATACTGCTGTTTTTTGGTTGTGAAATGGATTAATTGTACTAACATTATTTTCAATGGGGAAATTTGTTTCACATGACGAGCTCGGTTCCGGAACGGATTAAGTTCGTTAACTGAGGTTCCTCTGTACATACATACAGTACATACATACATACTTATGATGTGCTAACATCAGAAGAGGGCATGGTCAATCAAATTCAAGTAGGGGAAAAGCTCACCCCATCATGTGCTCATAATATTCTAAGATGGAATACAATTACAGAAACTCCCGTAAAGGTCCAGGATGAAGACCT